TATTTCCAGTGCTGTTGGAAGCTTGTTCTCTGTTTTCTTTCTGATTTCAATGCAAAGTGAAGAATGTATGGTAGGCTAGAAAGCTGGGAGCAGCTATGAAGTGCTCCTCGTGGATTCTGGTAGAACTTCCCTTCATTGCTTTACGTTTATTTTAGTTGTGTCGATCAGCCTGTTGCTGATAAACATACATTTATGTTAGTCCTGGGACCAACATTTCTTTTATTATGACTTTAGTTGTATAAATCGGTCTGTTGCCAATAAACACACATTTATGTTAGTTCTAGGATCAACATTCTGAGAAGGGATAAAGTAGGGATCATTGGAGGGTTTTAAAAGAATGTGGGTCTGGGCCTGGCGTGATGGTGCAGTGGTTAAGGTCCTTGCCTTGCACGCCCGGGATCCCATATGGGCGCCGGTTCCCATCCAGCTCCTTGCTTCTGGCCCAGGAAAGCAGTCGAGGACGGCCCAAAGCTTTGGGACCCTGCACCCGCGTGGGAGACCCAGAAGAGGCTCCTGGCTTCAGACTGGCATAGTATCTGCCGTTGCGCTCACTTGGGGAGTGAATCATCGGACGGAAGATCTTCCTCTCTGTCTCTCCTCTCTGTGTATCCACCTTTCCAATAAAAGTAAAATAAATCTTAAAAAAAAAAAAAAGAATGTGGGTCTAAAATAGCTGGTAGAATAAAAATATATTGGACAAACTGAAATAGAGAAAAGAGCTAAAATGCAGTGCACAGACTAAAATAAGTATCAGTTCAGATGAGTCCAAGTGCAAAATATGTAATTATCTGTCCTATTACCTTATTTGTAGAAGAGTTCTTTTATTTTTTTTTAATTCTGCATTTCTTTTGCTTTGTTTTCCAGTCTTTTTGAGTACATATAAGACCTATTGAGTTTAACATACTGAAAGTTTTGAAATTGTAATTGCACATTGCTGTGTAGAAATGGCTGTTTCTTTGTTGCTTAGCAGTTTGCCACTACAAATTGAAAATAAAAAAGTTAATTGAGTTTGATTTATCATATTCTCTCTAGTTCCATTCCCTAACTTCTTTGAAGCCCGGATGCTTTTTTAAAGTCCTCTTTCAACATCCCTAGGAGTGACTTAATGCTCTGAATGCTTGCAGTAGTTGTTGTGGTATTAACTAATTTTATTGATGACTGCTGTACACTCTGCAACAGTTTAGAAATAATTCATGCTGTGGAGAAGAGAGTTTCCAGGTTACCAGTTTTTGGTACTCAGTGGCTCCTGTAACACTGATTCGCTTGCAGTTCCTTGAAGATGTAGGAACCCTCCTGTGGAAATCCTTTTTCAGTTTCCGTTCCCTTTGCCTGTGCTATTTTACTTTCTCACCTTTTTTATCATCTTTGTTCAGTTGCTACCTTGTCAGATTCTTGTGTAAATGAGCAAAATCCCCACCGAGTTTGCTTGCCAGTGAGCTAGGGCTGAAGCCATGAGGGACAATTGCAGTTGCCTACTCTCCATACAGTGTGGCTCCGATCAGATGGTGCTGGAGCTGGTGAGAAGTGGTTGGGCTCAGGCTATATTATTTGTTATAGATGAGTTTATTTGAAAGGCAGAGTGACAGAGAGGGAGTGGGGAAGATATCTTCCATCTTCTGGTTCACTCCTCAAATATCACCAGTGGCGGGGGCCCAGGCCAGACTGGATAAAGAACTCAGGAGCTCCATCTGGATTCTCATGATTGGAAAAGGTTTTCATACTTGAGCTGTCTCTTGCTACCTCACCAAATGCTTTAGCAGGGAGCTGGACTGAAGCTGAGCAGCTGAACCCCAAACATGTATTCTGCTATGGCATGCTGGCATCCCATGCAGCTGCTTAGCCTAACACTAGCCCCTCCTTAAGATACTTTGAAGGCAAAATCAAAAGGATTTACTCTTGCCTTGAGTTGAATGAGAGAGAAAGATAGTAGAAGGGATTATTTGAAGTGAGAGACTGAAGGAATGGAATTGCCATTTACTTCAATGTAAACTAAATAGCAAGGGAAGAGCTCAAAGAAGGGATTTGATTTTATTCATGGTACTTGGAAGAATGCAGCTTGAGTTAAGACAAGGAAGATTTGGGTAGGAGCCTGGAATATAGATAAAGATGAGAGGCCTTGGAGGTAAACCTGAAGGCACTCCAGTGTTCAGAGGTTGAGAAGGTTAGAGGGAGGGACTCTTGGATAGAGAATACCCTGCAAACCAGGTAAAGAATGTTTCAGAAAAAGAGTAATCAACCATGTCAAATACTGCTGAGAGAACACCAAGACAAAGACAGGATCATCATATTTTTCAATGAGGAGGTTGTTGATAATATTTTTTTTAAGATTTATTTATTTTTATTGGAAAGGTGGGATTCCGGCACATTCAAGGCGGGGACCTTAACTACTACACTATCGCACTGGGTCCTGTTGATGATCTTGATGAGCTGTTCTGGAGTTGGGGAGATTAAAGTCTGGCAGAACAGAGTACATGAAAATAAAAGAGGAGGTATAGACTCACAGAGTAGGTTTTTACAGAAGATAGTTTTGTAAAGTAGAATAGAGAAATGAGATGGAAGCTGAAGAATGATATGAAGTCAGGAAAGACTTTTTAAAAAATGCATGTTAATGAGTGTGAGAAAACAGTTGATCATATAGGAGGAAGAGACTGGGGACAGTTGGTGTGAACCTGGATTCTCTGATGTTCTCCTGTAGCACTGTTTACTGCTTTAAAGAAAAACTGCTTTCCTAAACCCTCAAACTGGCAAGGCGCTCGCTTCAAACTCCCATCTAACTCCAAAGCTACTGTATTTTGCCTCTCTGCTTCCTCTTAGAGTATGACTTATACACAGCCTTTTAGGTCTACTTTTGATTCAAAGAACCACGCTTAAACCAGTATGTCAGTCTTAGCAGGTTAATATAACATCAGAATTACACTCTCTTTTTCTTTTTTTAATTGGAAAGTCAGATATACAGAGAAGAGGAGAGACACAGAGGAAGATCTTCCGTCTGATGCTTCACTCCCCAAGTTGCTGCAATAGCTGGAGCTGAGCCATTCCAAAGCCAGGAGCCAGCAACCAGGAGCTTCTTCCAGGTCTCCCACCCGGATGCAGAGTCCCAAGGCTTTGGGCCATCGTTGACTGTTATCCCAGGTCACAGACAGGGAGCTGGATGGGAAGTGGGACTGCCGGGATTAGAACAAGAGCCCATCTGGGATCCCAGGTGTGCAAGACGAGGATCTTAACCACTGCGCTATCACTCTGGGCCCCAGAACTATACTCTTAACAGTATACTCTTAACCTTGGACTGGCAAGAACTATGTTAGATTTAATGCAGACCTTCTGCCAACTGCTATGATGAGCTGTTGTGGATCTTTAGGTGGCTGTGATTCTGAAAAAGCAGTTCTGATTTTTACCTTTTCAGTTACAGGGTTAGGCTTGTGGCAATGAAGCAATGCCAGAGGCTGATATCAGTTAAAAGATGCAAGTGTTGAAACCAACAGCAAAATCACTGGCAGATTTCAGTGTCATTGTTATTTATCTTCTGAGCTCAAGGTTAATATTTCTGCACTTATGTCTACACATCTGAGATGTTGGGATTGAGCTTTAAAATTTGGGCCTAGACTCTTGTAATCAGCACCAGGGCTTTTTTTGTTTGTTTGTTTGTTTTAATGGAGCATGGTAAGAGCTGTGGACTTGTCCATGAGAGGCTTCCGTGCTGGTGTGTGTATTCACCCTGCTCCATGAAAATGCTTGTCAGTGCTTGCTGTGTTCAAAGATGTGTTTTGAGAGTTTGCAGTGCTCATTTCTAAGGGAGAAGGTAGTGAAGAAATTAGGTGCTCTATAGCAGTCACACTCTGAAAAGGATAGAGATCTGCAAGGGTATTTTACACAGTGTGGGGAAATAGGACCCAAAGTTTATTATGGAGTCCCAAATTTTGAAATCTATGCATATGAGGAATCATCAGAAAGATCATGAAAGATGTATATAATGGCAGAACAAAACTATACATGGATTTCAAAAATGCTTTTTCTCCAAAGTAAATTTTACTTTAGATTCCACTCCCCCCAAATGTTTTGAAGCACCTTGGACTGTTTTAGATCATCCCTGGCACTCTTCATTCCTAGGTGTCACTTTACAGCCCACCTGGCAGACTGCACAGTCACAGTGAGAGAGTGGAAGATCCAGGGCCCACCAGCTCAGCACACGACTTTGCTCCCTTTGTGCTAGTCCTCAGGACCCCTGACGTTTTTGCATGGCCAGATTGGAAAACCTTTCCTATAGAGAGTTTCAAAATTATTATTTTTAAAATGTGACTCCCTATCTCTTATAAGAATTAAGAGAAACTTGTTTTTTTGCATGAGTTTTCTCTTTTAGAAGTTAAGAGCTGTTATTCAGAGCTTAGTTAAATGTTTCAAAATGCCAAGCTTCTGTATATCATTCCTATCGAAATTAGTTCATAAGGTAGATTGATGAAAAGTATGGTTTGAAGATGATGATGTTATGGATTGTCAGGAAATGAAAATTCACTTGGGCTTTCCGCTTTTGTGCCACTTCAAAGGATAGAATTTGGCCTTTGTGTTTATTTTCAAACGCACATATGAGATGGAGTTATGTGTGAGTTGTAAATGTTAGTGTAGTGGTTTGATTACTTTAGTAAAAACAAATTAATAAGAGGGGTAGATAGGTTCCTGTTGCTTAATTTTCAAAAAATAATATACATTCATCTATTTTCATATTTTAAGAAATTCAAAAATGTAATACTACTGAGTTTCAATTTTGTTGCACATTTAAAATGCAGATTTTAAAAATTTGAATTGTATTTTTTAGTAATGAATAATTTAAGAATTCTTTTTATTCTCATCTATTTTCCTAACCTTCTTTTCCTACCTCATGGTATGAAGCTCAAATTGAAGATGCTTGCATTTTTAACAGGTTGAACTTGTGGCCTTGGCTATAATTGTCACTTCTCAAATCTATTTCTGATTTTAATCTTATTATTATATGTTTTTTTCCACAGACTGGTGAATTTTCAGCACGTTTCCTTTTAAAGTTGCCGGTGGATTTCAGCAATATCCCTACATACCTTCTCAAGGTAACAGTATATGATTATCAGTATGAGAATACAAATGAATTTTCAAACAATTATTTAACTCAGTATTTTTATGACTGGTTTGTAAGCCTTTCCCTCATACAATGAGTTCAACTAAAACCATTTATTGAATGAAGATGTATTTTAAAGATTATTATTATTTTTTAATGATACAATTCCATAGGCACAGGGATCCCGCCTCAACTCCATTCTCCCCCGTCTCACCACTGTTTTCCCCTTTACAGTTGTATAGTCCTTCAGCAACAATCACAAGTTCAACATTCTTGCCATTTAGTGTATCATGGCATTGTAGCTAGAGACAATACTAAGTAGTTTATTATTCTTTTGTCAAGGTACATTTAATAATTTCATTGGAAGTTCTACTTTTATTCAGGAGTAGAGATGCATATAGCAACATATTTTCTCTTCCTGATATTCTAGTCTCCATTTTGTAGTTCATGTATGAGAATATATGTATATACATGTCCACCTGTGTATCTGCTTATCTTATATTTTGCATGGAGGTTGCCTTACATAGAGAGAACATATGACATTTGTCTTTTTGGGATTGGTCTGTTTTCACTGAGCATAATGCTCTCTTTTGAATTACTCTATTGGGAAAGTCTGTTGAACTATTTTGTTACTGAAAGGCTAACGTATGAGACTTTAGAAGTGAATTGTTTTTTGTGAGACAAAATTAGCATTAATAAATTAAGCTTTGGGGTGAAATCTCTTTCGTAATATCATCAGGATGAGAGACTACAATAGAAATTATCTAATATAAATTCTTTACATCAGCTGTTGGAACTCAGGCTTGTTCAATAGAGGGCTGACCTGTAGAGACCCAGGATCCAATTGGACTAGAGTCTGTGACATTCTTTAAAATGTGATCCAGGCATGAGATCTCCTGGGCAGCAGCTGCCTTGGGGAGAGTCTGTAGATGCTTAGCTCCTGAGAAACGGATGCCTCTTGACTAGGTTATGGGACAGAAGCTAAGTAGACCAGGGGACAGACTGAGGACAAAGCCATTAGACACAGGCCTGAGAGCACCACAGTTAGGGTTTTGATTATGACTTAAGATTTTGTCCGCTGCCTCAGCTTGTATTTCTACTTGCGATTATTTAGTTTTGATTTCATGTAAGGAAAATTTTTGCCATCTTAAATTGATATTGTTCAGAGAGTTAGGAGTGTTTATGATTGTCTGGAAAGCAGTCAGAATCCTGGTGCAAGTTCCCCTCTGAACTGGAATAGGCAGTAACTAATGTTAGTCATCTTCGTCGTCGTTGGAAGCATGGTATAGTAGAGTTCTAGCTGTATCCGTAGGGAACGATTTTTAAAACTGACTACTAAGGTGGAAACTTTTTCCTGTAGTAAAGCATGGGATTTTTGTGCATCATTAAACTTTCGTTGTTAGTTTCCAGTTGCCTAGTTTTCCCAAACTCCCAGCAGTTGTGTAGTTCTGGTTGGGAATGTGAGTCAGCAATTTGCTTCAGCTTCTCTACACCCGTGTTGTAGGAAATGTACATATTTCATTTGTGGTTATAAAGCATAATTAATTTGGTTTCAGTAATTATTATGCTCTATTAGAATAGTAAGTGGTCTCCTTAGAAATCCTGCAACTCATATGTGGTGATCTCCATCTGTTCTAGTTAAAACTCAGTTCATTTTAAATGAAGTTTGATAGTAAATGAGAAGGCAATATTGGTATAATCGTCATAATCCATAATTTATAGTTGTAGTATTTTTGTTTTGACTTATTGGGCCTTATTGGTTTCATTAGTCTTCCTGTTTGTTCGAAATTGGTGTTGACTGTGCTTGTATTTTTAAGACTCCAAGGAAAAAAATGCTTGTTCGCTCATCGCCTACCTAATTCATTTCTCTTCCATAACAAATTCCTATTCTTTCTGTTTAAAAAGCTCTTGTTTTATATTGTGCCCTTGGCTTTGCTTATGAGCCAATTGAAAGATGGAACCTATTTGCTAAAATGGCAAAGTCCCCCTACCCTCCACTCTCCACCCCTCACCTGCACATTGCTTTACTGTGAAATGATTCATCTTCTGTAGATGGAATGCCCAAGTTGCAACATTAATATGTTCTGGACCCTTGTGCATGCAGAGAGTAAATCAGGAGGGACAAAAAGGGATAAATGGCTTGTAAGCAGATCAACAATTAAAAAGTAAAAATAAATAACCCAACCAACGTAGCAGCAACAGTGCAAAATTCTGTTCAGTTTTTAACAGTTGGTAACAATGTTGCACGGTGACCTTGGAACGTTTAGCTGTGCTTTTCAGAAGGAATTTGCATTGGCAACCACTTTACAGATTGTTTCCACATGGATGGTGCTTGTCTAATTACTAGGCCTACAGTCCATAGTCTTAAACCTAAAAATAAAATAAACTCCCCATTTCTTAGGGGTAGGGTACTTCTCCATCATCATCAAGGTAGCTTCATCATCTCAAGCCTTTTAAAGGCACAGCAGAATATAAAAATACTGTGATAGCATAGTTTGACTATATACCCTGTTGATTTGTTATAGACAGGTTTTGTTATTTGAGAATGAAGCCATCATTTGCTTCTAAGTTCCTTTCACCAAGTGTAGCTGTTTCACCCATCCATAGACTTTTTTGATGTTAGAATGTGAAGACCATTAAGTAATCATGATATGATTTTACTTATTGTAATTTAAGAATAAATGATTAAAATATGAATTTATTTTAAAAATAGATTCTGATGCTGGTATTTGATTTTTATTTTTTGTTGAGATAGCTCAAAGGATTAAATGATTTGCCTAAACACTTAAGTCAGTAGAAAAATGTTTCTGTATTTATTAGGATTTTTTATTTGTGGGTGGTAAAAATTCCACATGCACTTCTTTAAACAAAATGGGAAACAGACAAATCTTGCTTGGTCCATGCAGCAGGAAGCAGACCCAGTACTTGCTAGCCTGTGGGTTAGGCTTAGGCGAACCTTCCCATGCCTGTTCTACTTGGGATCCATTGCACACTCTGAGCCTCTTGACCACTGTGTTTGTGGGGAGAAATTGTGTCCTGCAGTAAAGAGGACATTGCTGAAATGATAAAAATACTCACTACACAATTTCAGAATTGTGTAGTGTCACAAAGTATTTTTGGGTTCCATATTATGAATGCAGCCCATTGCAGCCTAAGGATATTTGGGGAAAAGTTGCCCTGTACAACCTTTTTTCCTTTGTCATTATTCTCTAAACAAGATACAGTAACAACTTTTTACACAGTATCTACATTGTAGTACTTACTGCAGTTAACTAGAGATAGTTTTAAAAAATGTAGGGGTGTGTATAGGTTATATATGAATATTGTGCCATTTTAGGTAAGGAGCTTGAACGTCTGCAAGTTTTGATGTCCATTAGATTGGGGGCTTCTGGAACCAATCTCCATGAATACCAGAGGATGACTGTACTTTGTCTTACACAAGAGCTTGTTATTACACAGTGCTCCTCTTCATTCTCTTAGGACATGGTGAAAACTGACTTATGTGTATTCTTTTACTTTTGTCCTGAGAATTACCGAACCTAGTAATTCTGTGCCAGGAAAACTTTTTTTTTTTTCTATTTCATTGGGTTTTTGAGGGGCTTGGGATTGGGAGAAAACTTATTCCAAGATGAGATAAGGAAGAGGTTGTAATTTTGTATTAGAAATTGTAAACATCTGAATAAAAAGTGCTCAGTAATTAAGAATATTGTATTTTAAGGAAGGAAAACACTGAAAATTACTTGAAAATGGTTTTATGTGTTTGAATTTATGTTGTAATGGGTTAGTTTTACAGAATGTATAGTATATGGCAAAGTTCAAATCCTGGAGTTAGGAACTTGATAGTATCACATAGAAATAAGTAGAAACATTGTTGTATCCACTGGATTGGAAGCAAAATATAAATGTTTCCTACTAGTAGTGAATATGGCAAAAATAACAACAATGAAAAACAATGGTGACTTTTTTTATTAGATAAAAAAAGCTATTATTTATGTAGTTCTTGCATTGTCTCTAAAGTGGACATGATTGAGCTATAGGCCAGAGCAGACACAGAGCTGTAACCAGTTTAGTATATCTTCAGTTCTTCCATGGTAATCTTACTGACATCAGTTAATATCACGAAGTGAGATTTCATCCTGGTAGATGACTTGATGAGATTTAGTTCTGCTACATAATCATGACACCATAGGGAAATGAGGGTAAACAAGTTAAAGTTGGTCATCTGTGTAAGGAGATGAGACTGTCTTCTTTCTTCTGAGGCCACTGTTTGGCTCCACTGATCCATCAGTGCACACTTGGAGCATGGGTCTCTTTGCTAGTAAAAGGGAGGGAACAAGACTTAAGGTCATGTTATCATTCAGTTCAGGAACCTGGACAGGCTAAGCGTTGTAGTGGAAATCTTGGTTGTAGACATAGTATGGTCCACTCAGGGTACCTCATGTAGGAGAATCTGAAGTGATGATATACAGGGGGTATCTGGTTGATGTAAGGAACTGCCACCTCAGCATGATATAGAAGGGTACCCACTTTATAGTCAGTTTACTTTGAATGAAACCCAGAGCAGATGATCATGGGGCCAAGCAGGTACTGAGGAAGGTGAATCTGCCTTGATGTGACATAAAAGGGCATGGCCAGAGGTAGTGTGAGCTAACTGTGTGCCTCAGGTAAAGGTAGAAGGTGCTATCTACCTGCACAGTTGTTTTCCGTGTGAGTCTACGGGGCTTGTGTTGCCAGACAGGCAGCTATTGTTAAATGCAGCCCAGGGTCTCGGGGTCTCCTTGTTCTTCAAGTCTCTTTTTTAAAAATGTGAAATGGCATTTTAAGTGCTGGCAGTGAAGAATAATGCTTAAAAACATTGTGAACACCAAATAGAACACCTCTGTGTGTTTGCCCTGGCCCTGGAATTCATCTGTACACTTGCTCAAATGCCTGCTAGTCTGATAACTGGCTGGCCATAGGACTCTTAAAAAATACCCATTTGAAATGATGTTA